GTTCTATAATGGCCAACATCATCATAATTCAAAGTTGTGTTTGGACAGTCCAGAAATCTGTCCAATTATCAAGCTACAAGATAAGAGCTCTTTTTTTTTGGTTGTACCTTTCTAAGGTTATTTTAGCTTCGTGTTTGTGATTTGTTATTGACCCAGCCTTCCAGTAACGTTCACAGAAGTCTTAAATAACTTTTGGATATCAATCAACAAAAGTTATTCTTTGCATGCACAAATGGTTAAGGGTGCAGCAGTCGGCATACTGCACTCTGAACATGTCACCTGAGTTTGATTCCCAGCCATCGCTAACATCAGTGGTGACTGATACCTAATCCGGTCCTCGGCTGTCCGCACCCTTCACCAACCCACACAGATTTGCGTGATCTCTCTTTCGTATGGTGTGATCAAGTATGCTCAATCCACATGATTGACATAGCATCACGATGCTTTTATCCTCTAAAATGGATTCACAAAGCTGAATAAAATGACTAAGTACTGCAGCTCCCCCATAGGGTTGATGGTGACATTGCTGCAACGTCGATTGCTCTTGCTGCGACATGCGTTGCCGTTCCGGTTGTCATTGCCATCGTGGCTGCTTTCGGCGTGGTGCAGGTATGCCGTCATCCTGGCGTTCGACGTGAAGGTGGAACGCGAGGCCCAGGACATGGCCGAGAGCCTGGGAGTGAAGATCTTCAGCGCCGACATCATCTACCACCTCTTCGACGCGTTCACCAAGTACCGAGCCGACCTCAAGCGGCGCAAGCAAGAGGAGTTCAGGTGCGGCCGAGCCCTCGGCTCATTCAGAATCTGAATATTTATTTACGCTGGAGGAATCCGATGAGCTATAAAGCTCTTAATCACAGATTTACAGTCGCGGCACGGGGTGGGAACGTTTCAACAACAAACAGAACGAAAACACGATAGGAGTGCGAAGTACAGGAAACGGAAACAAATCACCCAAAGACATGCAAATACAATTCAACCATCCCCATCCTACCAGGCAAAGCCCACTGGAATGTTTGACACATATTTGGTTGTTTTAGGTCCTGGGGGCAATTTGTTGTTATTGGTGAATTGCTCTTGGCTAACGCAGGCAGTTGAAGTTGTGCGTGTGTTTTTTATGACCATTTCACAGGGATGTAATGATTGTTAAGATTCAGGCACACCTGAAGTCAATTGCACTTGCAATTGTGTAATTAGCATTACAATCGCAAATGCAATTGTAGTTTGAGCTTACAGTGCTACTGAAATTGTAATTAGAATTGACTCCGAGTCTCGATTCAGTTTTCATTTCATCTATTAGGTGTAGCCCTGTGAGCCATGCGGCTCTTGTCTCGGGTGCAACCGCAACAAACAAAAACAGGAACAAAGAACATCTTAAAGTGACGACGCGCAACAGAAAAATATTAATATAATTGATTGTTGGTATTCGTATTAAATCGAAATTTAAATCTAAATTTGATAGTTGGTATACGCACACACGATACTATGCGTGAATTGTCAGTTTCAGAATTTGTATTTAATGAATCGTTACAGTGCCCTAAGTTACTGTCGTCCAGTCCTGGCTGCGGTGTCTGTTAAACTAAGAACTGCATGTCATCCATTGTCCTTGTTGAACCGAGAGTGACTCGTCTAATAACGCCGTCCGTTTGCTCGTGTGGGGCTGCCGCAGGCACATAGCGGTGTTCCCGTGCAAGCTGCGCATCCTGCCGCAGTTCATCTTCAACAGCCGCGACCCCATCGTGTGCGGAGTCAATATAGAGGCCGGCATTCTCAAGAACGGCACCCCCATATGCGTCCCCTCCAAGGGCGTGAGTACGGCCACTATACAGACACACAGCAGGAGAGTAGGACCGTGTGAAATCGCTTGCTGCTTACACAGATCCCTCTTAACGGCGCGTGTGTGTGCGTGTGTGTGCTCATGCATCGCAGTTTGTGGATGTGGGAGTGGTGACGAGCCTGGAAATCAACCACAAGGCAGTTGATGTGGCTCGCAAGGGCCAGGAGGTGTGCATCAAGATTGAGCCCGTGCCAGGAGAGGCGCCCAAGATGTTCGGTCGCCACTTTGAGGCCTCGGACTTCCTCGTGAGCAAGGTGAACGGCGCACGGACGGCAGACGGTTTATTTTCAGTGCGGCACGTATCCTTGCAATAACAGCATAGATAGAATGTCAGGAGGTGGGGAACAGTGGCGCAGTGATTAGCGCACCATGCTATAAACCGAGCAATCCAAATTGGATTCCCAGCCACAGCTGTTATCAGTGGCGAATGATATCTGAACCGGTTCTGCCTCTCCCCCCCCCATGCTTCACCAATCCACACTAACCAGCATGTTGAGGAATGGTAACAAAAATCCCCGTGAATTACACAGCATGCAGACCTCCTTCAGCTAGGAGTGGTCAAAGGGCTGTAAGTAATTGAATCATTGAAATGCCAAATAGTGCGATTATTTTTAAGCATCGGTGAGTGTATTGTGCAATGCTTAACAAATATTTGGTTGATGTACAGTACCCTGATCGATGGCCTCTTTTCTCTTCCGCGTTGCAGATCAGCCGAGCATCCATCGACGCGCTCAAAGATTGGTTCCGGGATGAGATGTCCAAGACAGACTGGCAGCTCATTGTGGAACTCAAAAAGACCTTCGAGATTTTATGAGGACACCCGTAAGATCGAGGTGGCGTCAGCACGACACGTCAAAGAAAATCCACCCGGAAACTTTGTCCGTGTTCGTCGTCGTTCGAAGGACACGGAGCGCCGCACCCTCCCTCCCCCGGCCACGGAGATGAAGGGTGTGCGACTTGTGAGAGCTTTTGCGCAAGGTTGCTTTGGTGATGCCCGAAGGATTCGATAAAAATTTATCACATGTAGGTAGGTATTGGATTTTTAGGGCAGATTGGTTGTCTCTCCAAGGTTGCCCCCACAGTAGTTTGCTGCATTTGTTTGCAACGTCAATCTGTTTATTGAATTTCAAAAGAATAAAAAGCAAAAGATACAAAAATTGTGCGAAAGCATTTTGGCTTGCTTTGCAACTGGGCACACCGTTGAAAAAAGGGTAATTTGCATTTTTCTAAATTTCGATTTTGCTGCCGATTTTATAATGAAATCCAACATTTCTCAAACTTTGTATACAAAGTTGATGTGTGCAGCTGCTTGCGTACACGGTTAAGGGCGAGTTAGACGCTAACATGTCTGGATAACATCGTCGCCATAGCCTCCGTCATCCGGTGGCAACTGCCGCCAGCGCGAGCGCCCTGTCGCGTCCGCAATACAGCGGCGAGCCTGCGAGATTGAATTTTTCCTTCTGAACAGGCAATTCCATCAAGCGATTGCATGTGTGCGGGCATGTCCCCTCTGCTCCAGTGTTCCCTGCCGTGCACTGTGGGAAGAAAGGAATTCTGATGCTGTGGTGCACTTTGCCTTGATCCTTCACGGGAGATTTCCGAAAGACGCTGCTGTCTGCCCTGCTGTAAAGTAAAACGCGTTGGCGGTGTCCCTGAGGCACCACCGCCGCCTGTTGTTATTCCCTGGTAAGACAGCGCCATCGTCCTGCCTGGAGCAGTCACCGCCAGCAGAAGCCCATGCACATTCTACCACGAAGATGAGCTTCAGCGACAATGCACCTTGGAACTATGCATTACGCTGCAGTTTCCAAAACACCGCTGCATTTGGCCCGCGCTGTCTACATTTCCACATTTATCGATCTTCTCCATTGAAATGCAAAGTCGGCGCATGCGCTACGATTGGCAAACGCATCCCACGCGATGTAGAGGAGTAACGGGTTCAAATTAAAATAATTCTTTTCAGCCACACTCTTAATTCACTACTCGATTTATAAAGCCTTCACATGCCATATCGGTCATCGGAGGGGGGTGGGGGGTGATGGTAAGGGAGGTGGCAGGACCCGTTCGGATATCGCTTGCTACTTATCTTAGAAATGGCAGGGAATCGAATTTGTGATCGGGTTCGTAGTGTAATGCACTAAATAGAATAATGCAAACGCCTCCGCCCACCCCCAATCTGACTTGAAAACTGCCCACCTCTAAATCTAAACACAAGATCACGCCTGCATGAATGATATCCAGTTGGCGCTCACTTTCATCACGTGAGACACGTTTACAAAATCATCGGACACGTTGCAGTATCTGAGGAGTTTTGTATTTGAATGGAGAAAATTGGTATCAGGTGGAGAGACTGATTGGTGGGTCACGAAGATCGGAACACCGTGTATAATGCCATTGTCAGGTGGCATTCTTCTTAACCTTTGGGCTTGAAAGTAACATATCTGGGTTCTGCTCAGTCCTTGGATTACCATTCCTTTTTGCCAAAAGAGAATACATTCTTAAATAAAAGATCGTGCTTATGTATTTGCCATCTTGGTAACTTTCTGCTTTTTAAGGAAGTGGGTCAAACTTGTACAGATTTAAGCAAGTGGAAGTCACAAGAACGGCATGTTAACCACCACTGCTGAAAATTACACCAGATTCCCACACGAAGCTCAGTGACCAATCGAAAAATACCCACCCATCGCTCGCCCGAACAATGCATCTTGCAGCAGACGGCTGTCAACTGGTGTCGGGAGATGATAGCTCATTTCCAACGGCTGAATTGCACGTTGTGAAATCACGAGTGTTAATAAAGGGGAGTACAAACTGAATTATAGATACTGGGAGGATGGCTTTTGGCAGGGAGCCTGAAACAGAACCGAGGACGTGTTTCACTGCTGACCATAAACGCGTGTGCAACACAATCGCTCACCATCTGCCTGGTGAGGTCAAAAAACATTAAAGAGGTATTCTGCTTAAATATGCTTGGGAGACTGATTATCTCCTCTTCAGGGTTCTCAACCATCCTTGGAAATTCTGCATTCCCCCGGTGGGGGCGAGTTTATTGGTAGGACAACCACTGGATAACGTGGGTTGCTTCGTGCAAGTGAAAAACACGGATCTTCAAAACGGTGGAGTAAGTTTCTGATGTGTACAAGAATGAACCAGCAGGCTTACAAGGTTCAGTACAAAAATATTTTAATTCTATGGCAGTGCAAAAAAAAACAACACAGATGTTGCAAACAATGAAAGTGCTGAATGTCCATTTGTGGTGGTAATACTGTGGAAAATACACCGTTGCAGGCACTTTAATTATTCAGCAACATAGCACACCGATATTCTCATTCATTTATAGATAGTGTGTGTACTTGTACGCCTGCACAGAGCTCTGTCCACTTTTTATTGGCTTTAACGTGACACTCCAGACAAGAGCTGAAAAAACTTCCATCAGTGAAAAAGGTTAAAGTGCTTAATACTGGGATTCAATTGAAAACCTTTAATTCGACCCTGGTTTTTAATAAAAAAATTCTAGTTTAAAATTAAGCGCTTAGTCTTGATTACATTTGTACCAAATGTTAGCCTTTTGGCCCTTCTAGAACATAATTAGAATTTATATTAGCAATTACCATCAACTAAATGTATTGGATAATGTGTCTATACATCACTCTTGCAACAAGCGGCCTGTGTCATAAAGGAGTGGATCAATAATGAGTTGTACATTTAATGCGTACTCTCTAAACAAAGCCAAAGTGAATACCATCGTTAGCCATGGTCTATCCACGGTTGGATGAAGGCCTTCACCAGCCACCGCCTCTCGATGCGAACCTAGCAAGTTCTCGTCGCTCAAAGTCATTGCAGCACTGCAGTAACCTCGTGTACACCACCAAGAGCCTGCGCAATGCTCCGTTGGCAGCCAGATACATTTAAAATATTAACAGAGGGCTTCAAATTGTTATTTATTTACTTGCTAGACCTGAAACATGGTTAAGATTCTTGGTGAGCCATTGTTAGCCGTGTCGTGCGTAATGTGTTACGCTTAGAATTGAGTCGGTGTTGAGTGGTGTTTTGTGTTTATTTGGAGGTAGCTCACGTTGCCCATAGTGCCGCTTCACACACACGGCCGGCAAAGTGTCGTGCATCAGAGCTTGAGAGTGCTGCCATACGTGCGCTTCAGCAAGGCCTGGACGCTGTCGAGGATGAACTCGAACGTGGTGTGCCACGCGGCATCGCGGGCACCTTCCGTGAGCCTAATGGGAGAGCGGGGACCACGGTGGGATGAGAATAAACATGGGAATGGGGTTGAGTCGAGTACGACCACAGAGGAAAACACAGGGCAATGTTGTTAGCAGAAATAATTACAGAGGAAATGCCAACAAAGTCACAGCTCCATTTATAAACATGGACTTTTTTTACTGTAAACTATCAAGTGTTCACATTGGCCACATCATTGCATAGAACTGCCAGTGGTCGTTGTACAAAACGCACAGCATTTTGGCGCCCCACGATGCCCCCACATGCCCCACCGCGCCCCACCGCGCCCCACCGCGCCCCACCGCGCCCCACCGCGCCCCACCGCGCCCCACCGCGCCCCACCGCGCCCCACCGCGCCCCCACCGCGCCCCACCGCGCCCCCACATGCTCCACTGCGCCCCACCGTACCCCCACATGCCCCACCGCGCCCCACCGCGCCCCACCGCGCCCCCACGTTCCACTGTGTCCCTCCCGAACTTGCCCCCACCGTTTGATGTAGCGGACGACGAGGTAGAGCGACTCCAGGTCGCGCTGGTGCAGCAGCAGCTGCTGGAGGTAGTTTGTAACTTGCACAGCATCTTCCTGCTCCGGCGGGGCTGGAGGGGGGGGGGCCGTGATGACGCACGGGGATGGGGGGGGGGTCACCACAGGTCACGATTCACATTTCCAGGTCCGCACCAAGTCCAGGCCAGGGAAGAGTTGGACTGCACTTTTCTGTACAATATTGGATTTGGAGCGTGGTTTTGTTAAATGTAAAGTGGAAATATGAAATCCTTCATCTGATTGCCACGTATCCTGGTTTTCCCAGGATGTCTTCTTTTTGAGGTAGATTTCCTGGTAAGTTTTCCCCCATGACATTAAAACTCGTGGATTTGTCAGTCATGTAAATGCTTGAGCAATACATCCACGTGCAGTTCTCCCCTCTTGCGATATTGCGAGATCTTCCTGTGATATGTCCGGATTTTTTTAACCTCTGAGGTGGCTAACCGTTCGTATTTGCTGTCACTATTGATTCCTGCCCCACAATGGCCATTCTTGGCAAGGAACTTACTGCATGGGTTTCCAAACTTAGAGCGTGGGTTTCCAGGAGCTCAGATCTCACTTGAGATCTGTTGTTGTTGCAGAGTAATCTCGCAACATCCAAATCGGCGAGACGTTTTGCTGGAGATTACATCCAGCATCATCAGGTTGTTAACAGGAGCTTAGATCTCGAGTGAGAGTAAGATCTGAACTGATGATCGAGATATTGTGAGATTACTCTCCAACAAAAACACACCGGTGGTGCTGCCGAAGCAGTAATACATTTGGTACGTTTGATTTACGTGGCACTTTTAGAAATTGGCTTTCGGATGGAGAGTTTAAGACTTAAGATTTTAACGAAGCCCAAGCCAAAAAAAAAACTTAGCAGTTTCCAAACATTTTTAACTTTTGATGCGCTCACCTTCAGAGCTGTGCACCCAGTCCCTGAGCAAGGCCTTGACTTCGTGCAGCTCTGTGGAGCCGGCCAGGCTGGCTCGCGGGGGTCCCACAAGGGGCCCTGCGAGGGACGCATCTCCCCGTGGCTTCACGTGAACGCCCTGGGCTCCAGGCTGCTGCACACTCAGCAGCAGCAGCAGCAATAATCATCATCACAACTTAAGCTTGTATAGCACGTTTGACAACATGCTAAAGTTATTTACACTAAAATATTACTAACCTCGAAGACTATAGTGTTAATATTGTTGGAAGTTTTTTTACAGGGGGAAATGTGCATTTAACAGGGTTAAATATCAATAAGCATAACACGTGAGATTTTTGATGCTGCACATTAAAAGCACAGAAAGAATGATTCCCTGCTTAGATTGAGAAGTGAGTTCCATAGTTGACGGTCCGTAAAAAGAGCGCTCTACATCCCCAACATTTTACTTTGAACTCTTGACGAACGTTCAGCCGAGTCCAGCGTCCACGGAGGGCGCCGCCTTCAACAGGGACCAGCACTCGAGAGATTGTGAATGAAAATACGAACGGTGCATTATTTAGACTGGAGGAATCCGATGAGCTGCAAAGCTCTTGGGATAGCGTAGCGATGGCAGTGGCGCCCGTACCTCGCCGGTTACTTCGAGCGCTTTCTCTTCCGCGGTTCTGGCCGCCGCTTCAGGCTCCAGAGAGCCGGTCTTCAAACCGGTATCCAGGTGGACAGATACCGGCCACTTGCCCGGGCTGCCTCGGCCTCTCTTGCCCGGGCTGCCGCGGCCTCCTCTCCTCGCCACGCTGCCATCCGGCTGCTTGCCGGGTCGTCCTCGGCGACCTCTGCCTCCTCCCCTGCCAGCGCCTCGGCTGCACGGCTCTCTTTTCACCTGGTGGAGGTCAACGCACAAGGGAGTGCGCGTGTTCGTTGCTTGCAGGAAACGTTAAACGCTTTCCAACGTTTACTTTCGATCCGTGCCATTAATCATATTCGATTCATACAATTGCATCCCGGGTGATTCCTGCAGGAATCGCGATTCTTCTGTGGGTGATTTACCATGCTGAAATATTGGGTGAGTTTTAATATGATCCGAACAGGTGTAAAGAAGCTCCTTGGAGAGATCCATTTTTGTGGAAGTAGACCTTTATTTCTGACTTAACCTATTTACAGTTCCGAGTGTTGACGCTCCCTCTTTATATCTCTCTCCCCGCCCTTAATGAGCTACCACTTGCCATCAGTCCCTTCCTCTCCAGATGTTAGACATCCGGCCACCCGTGTTTACAACGTGTATTTTATTAAATCCCTGTGTAGTTCCCTACACAGGGATTCTGAGATGGACAATGCGTGCACTAGAATGTGTTGCGAGGTGTGTGTGTGTGGCACATGTGCGGTGCGCTAAGTGGTGTGATGCAACACGGCATGGCGTGGTATGCCTTGGCTAAGTGGTGTTGAATAACCATGGCGTTGCGGGGCATGGCGTTGCACGCCCTGTCGTATGGCGAGCTCCGTCTCGTGGCGAGCCGCGTGGCGTGCCACGGGAGATAGGGCCCCGTGCTGTACGTACTGGGGCCTGCGGTGGCACCAGGGCCTGAGTTTCCTGCTGTGCGCCGGCCCTGTTGGGCAAAGGCGTCTCTCAGCTCCTGCTGCAGCTTCCTCGGGCAAGGCCGCAAACACTGTTGGGTCGACCTGTTGGATACAGCAAGCATCATGATTCAAGCAAACTCGTGGGAAGTCCATTCAAGTACAACGGTTCCACCCACACACTCATCCACAATGAAAAGCCTATCCGTTGTATGATTTTGACAATAGCCCAAGCATGCCACATGCTTGGGCTATTGTAAAAAGTAGAGTGGATAAAAAGCACCAAGGCCAATAAGGTGAATTTGACATTATTTGGTCAAATTCAGATTATATTGATACAAATGATCGATCACAGACTGCAAATGTCTCCACATTGAAATTGGTGTCATGGTCTAGGAAATATCTGGACATAACTATTTGTGTAGATTAGAATAGCACGTGCATAGTAACAGCTGGAGTGTTTATGGGAAGTGATGCGTAGTCAAATTCGTGCTAAATCTGTTGCATCAGACACCTTAAGATGTTATTGCAATGATGTGTGGAGCTTTGTGCATTATCCCATCGTGAGTGTGGTGGTGTTTTGGTGGCCAAACCTCCCATTGGAAAACACTTGAGTAAGGCCTTTCCTCGTATAAATACATTAAACCTTACTTTACTATCAACATAAACAATTTGTGAGCACAGAAATGATGAAACAAAACCTTGACTGCAAACACCTAATTCAGCACGACAATCGAGCCTCGGGTCCATGCTTTAACTCTGCAGCTGATCTTAAAAGCAGTGAGAGAGGCCGCCTCTCACTTGTGAGAAGGCCGGCAGAGCCGTGATGGTAGCGCTGTCCGTGTGTCCTCGACCCCTCCGGCTCTGCTCACTCGTCCCCGCGGCGCCACCTGAACTCCGCTCCGGGAGAGCTTCCGTCGCGCTCTCTCGGGAAGAGCAGCCTCGCCGCCGTGGCCTTCTCCGCGGCGGTGGCCCGCGGCCCCGCCGACGTGGAGGCCCGCGGCGGCTGCTCGCCGCCCGCCTCCCGTGGGCCCTCCTGCCGCTGCCGCCCCTTGACCTCGACGCCCCTCTCGATCTGGGCCCGCAGCTCGCGAGGGAGCTCCGCCAGGACGCTGGGGTCGATCTGAGCGGTGCGCGACCCGGTGCAGAACGCGGTCAGACCGAGGCTCGTCACGAGACGAAGAGTCCGGAACTCGAGCAGAGAAAAACTTCCCTTCGCATTACATACAACTAGAACACTTTCTACTTCACCAGGTGAGGCCCATGGGAGAGGGTACCACAGAGCTACTTCCGAGATCCCTTCAAGCGACCTCTGGTGCATACACTGTTGGAGCAGCACTTTCGTACTCACCCTGCCATAAGCAGTAATGGTCATCACATAGCAGTTGAATCAATAAAGGTTTAACCCTCAAGAGCTGGAGTTTTGCTAAATGAAGTCCATAACCCAATTTTATATGATCACTTCGGGACCATCAACTAACTACGCTTGAGAAACCGGTTTAAGCAAAGGCAGCCACTTGGATTCCAACCCAGGATCTCAGCAGTGCAGACTCAGTGGTCTGACCCCCGATCCACCCAGCCACTTCTCTGTCCATTGATTTTTCACAAGGGCCGGTGGCGTCCTTCCTCGTACCTGTGACGGGGACGGGATTTCGATGCTGATGTCGAGCCCCACGGACCGTGGTGGCGTCTGTGAGGCGCCTGCCGGCCGTGAGCCGCAAGGACCCGGTGCGTCTCGTCCTGCCGCCGGCGTGGAGCTCACCGCCCCAGGCGACACAGCGTCCCTCGCGTCCCTCGTTTCTAAATGTGACCATAATGTGGTCAAGGTCCAGAGGTCGCAGCCCACGCTACAAATGCCATCACACCTCGCCATTGCTTCCTTCCGCTAGATCCTTCAGTTGTTGGGAAATTGACGACCGGCCTTATAATGATTTCTCCCATCTTTAAAGTGTCTGAAATGTACTTACGAAATCGTAGAACTGCCCAATAGCAAAACGCATGCTGAATGCAGCTTAAGGTATTCCGGCTTTAGGTTTTCCCCTTGGCATGGGACAGGATACACTCAACACGTGGCCAAACCCGGAACGAATGAGGCCTGCGCATCGGCGCCGTGTCGGTGCTCTCACCGTCATCGCGTTTAGCGACCCGCGCGTGCAGAAGCTCGAGGACCGAGCGGCCCGGCCGTCCGTCCGCCGCCCCTCCGACAGAACGGCCACCGCCCAGGGCGCCCCCGGACTCGCGACCGCCGCCGCCGCCGGTCGGCACTAGGTTGTGCATCTGCAGCCCCACCTGAGCCGCGCGAATGCCAGGGGGTGACGTACGCGGAGGGTGGCGGGGCAGCAGAAGCCATTTTGTTACAGGAAGATGCAAAAAATAAAATCGAATGTGGCTCTTTCACAGATACGTAAGCAAGTGGCCCTGCAACAACATTTCCTTCCCGGCGATTTGATCAAGTGTCACAATTCTATTCAAGGAGCAATTACTAACGCTTTCCTCAAAGTGAGGTTGATGGCACTTATGCTTTAGCGCTGTCCATTAGTCTGTCTGTAATGGGGGCACAATAACTATCGGAAGGATGTTCCAATATGACCGAACCTTGATTATAAAGTTGTTTTGCTTGTAGCGACGTACCCCATTGAAAACAGGACAAACTGGTCTAACGATTGCCCAATAACATGAATTGCAAACCACAGCAAATAGGACAAAGGTTGCCAAGCAAGGCTCCGGCCACACAGCACCATGGCGGCCTTCATAGGTGCTCGCCAACGGCATGTGTCGGCTAGACGGGGGAGGGGGGGCGGGGTCGCTCCTTTTGCCTCACCCCTCTCATGTCGGCCGCGTTGACTCTCAGCTGCCTGTACAGTGAGATCGCCTCCCTCGCCACGACCGCGGCGCTGTCCGTCGCTTGCTCCAGCGCGATGCTCCTACCGACAAAATCGGGACACGCGACCGGAAACGAGCCACAGCATGAGTGGCCGTGCCGCCGCACTGAACTTCATTATAACCATTCTCGTTTGTGTGTCAGTGTCTGACGGTCACAGCTCTTACTCGAGCAGTTTTCGTTCCACACAGTCGAGAAAGGGCTCATTCTGATCATAAACAACCAGAGACTAATTGTCTTGAAGATGAGCTATGTATGGCCTATGATCTTTAGCCTATGCCAATTTTTTTTGTCATCCTAAGCTTATGGCCCATGACTAAAGCACCCAGAATGCACCCAATTTCATCAGATCTCAGAGGCGAAGCAAGTTTAAGCCTGAATAGTGCTTGGATGGGAAAACCGACCGGTGCATGTTGTGTTGTTATAGGCTGCAGATTGCGGCGCTTGACAAAATGTCTTTTGATGTACGATCTCATGGGGCGGGACAAATATCCGAACTCTCAGGGAGAAGCACATCGAGGCTTCAGGTCGCCACGCCAACCACCGGAGGTCGCGCCGCCGCGCCGCCACCGATCACCTGGACGCGTTGTCGCAGACGCCGTGCCCGCCGAACTTGGCGGTCTCCACGGGCGCGCCTGCCTTGCGCACCATCACCTTCAGCGTGAGCCTCCTCCCCCGCACCGCCGCCGCGCGCAGCCGGCGCTGCAGCTCCTCCGAGAGCTGCTGCAGGAACGCCTCCGCATCCTCCGGCTACGGCACGACGGGGACACAGGCCGGGTGTCAGGAACCGGCGCCCGTGCCAGCTTCGGTATTCTGCTTCGGAGTGATGTAACGACTTGGCACGCGATGATTTATGACCCTCCGAAAATAAAACTCTGAGCGAGAGGCTTAAAGGTCACATTATCGTACTGGTACTGCTGTGTTTGACTGCCGCAACTCAGCGTTTACCTGCTGGCGCTGCAGTGAGAAGCATTGCCGCTGCCAATCACAATATTTTTATTGTGACCCACGGGGACGGCCATGGGTGAGTTAACGGGCGTGGCATGGCTAAGTCGTGCCCATTAACAAGGACGGGTAACGCTGGAATGATGGATCGGGGCAGCGCTCATCGATCGGCTCCTGAACAATGTTTCCGAGTGGCGCCACTTGGTACCGTGGCGCTCCGCTCGGCGCACCTGCTGGAATCGGATGCCGTAGTTGATCTCGGCGGAGACGGACTTCCTCTCGCGCTGCGGCTGCAGGACGCGGCCATCCTGCCCGCGACAGGCGCGGTGCAGCGAGAGGCCGGTGCGGAGGCCCAGCTCCCGCTGCAGGGCGGAGAGGGGCAGCGCCTGCAGCTCCCCGCACGTCCTCGCGCCCAGCGACGCCAGCCGCTGCTCCAGCGAACGCCCCACGCCTTCACGGGGGTGGAGGGGTTAGGGATGAAGGGTGACTGGTGGGGAGATGGACAGCACCGAACGCCAGGGAGTGCTGCTGGTAATCGGTAGTCCCGACACGATCACAAACTCCGACTCTACCCCCAATTCCAACCCGATTCATCACCCCACTCTACCCCAATCTCTGACCATTACCTAACCATAACCTAATCACTAACCCCCAAGGCCCTAATCCTATCTCTGGTACTTCTTATTCACTCGACCACTGTCAGTATTTCAAGACCATACAATGGATAATCGTGTGCCGTTGAGATTATCATGTACAAACAGGTGAGTGGTGAGTGTCCGTAGATTGGTGGTGAATGTTTTAACAGTGAGGCAATTCTGCTAACTCGTGAATCAGGCCCCTTGAGTGTTCACCACATTGAGTGCCAAACGCTCGGCAATGCTTGCTCCGATCCCCGGGTACCTCCGCCCCGTCAGGCTCCACACGCAAGCACGCACCTGGCAGGCAGCTCACGGGCTGGGACCTCATGAACTCCTCCACGACCTCCGGCCGAAGGTGAAACTGCCCGTCAGGCTTGGCCTTGCGCGTGGCCAGCCGAGCCAGCAGCATGTTGGACCCTTGGCGGCATCGAGACAAAGATACAAGTCAACATCAATATCGATCAAAGTATATGGCGATGACCAAATCACCCGGATTGCCCCCCGATATCGTAAGATCTCGGAGGATAAGCCACAGCCGTGTGCGCATAGGGGAGGGGGCATGTGCACACGTGTGTCTGTGTGCGCGCATTCAGGTGCACGCGCATACAGGAGTGTACGCTCGCGTAGGCGTGCACACGCAGGCATGCACGCTCTCACCCATGCCCACGGAGGCGCAACAGCGCGTGCGGGCGAACACCTCGGCGCGGATGGCGCTCGCCAGCTCCTCGGGGCCGGCGCCAGTGTCGGCCAGCACGGCCGTGACGTCCAGCATGGCCTCGTCGCAGCTCAGTGCCTCCACCTCGTTCGTGAAGCTGCAGGGAGACGGGCGAGTGAATGTACGTGGAGACAGGGGCAGACAGAGGGAGGCACGTGGAGACAGGAGAGACACAAGGAGAGAGGGAGAGATAGGTTGTGACAGGTGGAGACGCGTGCGTGTCATTAATGCGTGCGTTTCCGGCTGGCTCACCGGACCGTTTGGGCACGGGCCATTTTCCCGACGGTGCGGGCGTGACCGGGTGGCACAGTGGTGCTGGAGGAGGTGCGGGCACTCACCTGGCGAGGGTCTCGTACAGCGCCTGTGCCACCTCGCGGTAGCCGTCAAAGTCGTAGGGAACCGTCTGCAGGTCGGGGCACAGCAGCTTGGCTCGGCCAAAAAACATGCCGTTCTTCACGCCGGTGCGCCTGGACAGAAGGAAAGTGAAGGTGGTGCCGCGTCCACATTAAACCGTTTCATGATAATTTATTGCACTGTCATCCATACAGCCGGGGTGGCTTGAGGTGCACAGTCCTCCAATTACATTTGTGAATTCAAATCCAATTCATGTTCGTAATTAAAAGCGGTGGGTCTGCGGTTATCGTATTGTACCTCCGAATAGCACAGTTGGCTACGTACGGTGCGAAAGAAGTTCAACATACATACAAGGCGACATGCATTCCATTCCCGGCCACTGCCAACAATGGTAGCAAGTGATATCTGAACCGGCCCTGAGCCCTTTCCAGCCCCAAGTGATCAATCCGCAATGGCCAGCATTTTAAATATTAGCAGCCAACCCTCACGACCGACACGGCCTAGGGAGTCCTGCAAACACGTTAGCATGTTCCACGCAATACCATTTGTGTCCGTATGGCGACTGCATCTGTGGGCGTGCGGCTCTGGTACCGGGCCTCGTAGCTGCAGGATGCAATCTCCGCCATGGACATGGCGGCCGTGTCGGACGCCACTCGGCTCCCACCTCCCCCTCCTCCTTCTCCTCTGCCGTCAGTCTTCCCCCTATCCTCACCGCCAGCCTTCGCTCCACCTGTAACGCACAGCAAGAAGTCCGACGGTCACCGGCGGTCACCGCCCGGTCGCTCGCTCACTCGCCGTGTGCAATGTGCGGTGAAGGTGGAGGCGGCTGCGGTACCGGCTGCGCGGAGCTTGCGTTCGTAGTACTGCATTTCGTAGTGCGGGTCGGCGCCCGGGCGAGGCCGCTGGGGTCCCCTACCCTGTGTGTGCGTCACCGCCACGGGTTTCCCTGCAGCGCGGACGGAGGACGCACACACACGCATGCGCACACACATGCGCACGTCACAGGGAGTTCACACGGGATGCACAGATAAGCCCCAATTTGCACAGTACACTCAGGCCCATGTGGTGGAGTGTGGCGGTATTACTATTAAGAGATGATAATCTGCACCTATGCTGCAGGTCATGGGCTGCCCGACATGGCTTCAAAGCTTTGTTAACGCGACGACAGCCGTTTGATTTGTGGTCAAGCACTTGTCTAGAGCACTCGAACACGAGAGCGAAAAGAGTTTTTAAAAGGATTTTTTTCATGAGCAAAGCTTCAACCTCATCTTGCACAGCCTAGAACTCACCGCTCAGGTATATGTAGAGATATATCTACAAGAGATAATAAACAAAGTTTTTATGTATGTGTCTTGTTTTAATATTTGATCCTTATGACGTTACCCCGGGGTATCAAATAATACAAACTGGCCGAGGCAATTAAATATTTTATTTCTGGGACACTATTTTTTCCAGGGGTGTACTTAACTCTGCGACTGGGGTACCAATCAATCCGAAATCGGTGGTTCTACTCCGCGATGTTGAAACGCAGCGAGGGCGATTGCGCTGAAACCCTGAACGCTCGTACGCACCGTAGTGGTGCATCGTGCACAGCTCGTCGAGATGAGTCAATTGCCGCATCGCCGGCCATCAACAGACTAAAAATGACTGCATCACGGACATCATGCGAGAGCCGTGGTACTATGGTACCCCGGGGCACCGCCATGAGGTTAATTTGTCCATTTCATTAAATGTAAGATTAAGAGAACTCTTATGGTGCCCTCTGTACAATCTCTGTCATTTCTGCTGAATACGAACAAACGGGTTCCCCAGAATTTCATCGGGGGGCCGAAGATGTCACGAGACACCGACCTTTGAGGTCCGGGCGGTCGCGGATTCCCACGGACACGAAGAAGCAGTCCATGTCCACGTGCATGATCACGGGTGAGCTTCCACCTGCGGCAGAGTTCCAAAAAACGAATGTGTTGAGTTTTTGTTGGTATTCTTCAATAACGATGTCTCTATTTTGTATCTGTTCCCTGTTCCATGTGTTTCTTTTTCCGTCTCGCGGTGCAATTCCGAGCATGCATCTCACTGCGATTCTCTGCACACTTTCTAGCTTAATAATTTATTAATGTATCCAGCAATGCCTCGCTGAGCCTCCACTGTTTTACAGGAGGGTCCTGCATTTGGATGTTTGGCCGCCCCAATGAATGATACACTTGGATTGCGAGTGCCCGTGAACACCTCCGTGCCAAAATAATTCGATACTGATTGATAAATCATCATTGCAATGCGACACAATGCGACACCCCTAGACCCCTAGACGGCAAGTCCACACCCTCCCTTCGTCAACGGTAACCCTGCCTCTGCTCTGCCCGACGCTCAACCCAAGCTGACGCGCGATGACGATCCTCGCACCTGGCGCTGCGGTGGCCGCAGCCGGCGTCGCTCCCTTCTCCGTCGTCTGTGCCCGCAGGCGCTCCCTGCCGGGGAAGGACAACCCGTCGCTCGTGCGGTGCATCTCGGCCACCATGGCCGCCAGCTCCGACCTCCACGTGGCGATGTGGTGCAGCCGCGAGTGCGAGTAGTACTCGGCGATGAAGCCCGAGTCGTTGGTCGCGCGCATCGACCGCAGCGACGACGGCGCCTTGGCGACACCGCCGCCGCCGGCGTCGCCGCCGGATGTGGACGGCGCTGGTGAGTCGGAAGTTTCCGCTAGGCCGCCCCGCTCGCCGGTACCCACGCCGGCGCTCGCGTCCGGTGAACGGACTCTCCTGGGCGCACGTTCGGCGCTGGTACTCGCACTGCTGGTAACGGCGGAGGTGGACTGCCTCGGGCGGTAGGAGGGGTCCGTCACGTCGTCCCACGCGCCAGGGCCTACACTGGCGCTGCTGTCACCGCTGCCCATCTCGTTTGTGCCGTCGTCGTCGTCGGTCCACAGCGCCGTCGCGAATTCCGCGAGCGATGTTTCGGCGAAGTCGCCCGGTCCCTCCGTGTCCCCCGTGCCGGGCTCTCTCTCAGCGGCGCCGGTCTCCTCCCGCTGAGCTGCTGAACCCTCGTGGCGACGCTGGACTTGGTTGGTGCCGCAGGGCTGGGAGCCGGTCTCCGGGTCTGGGCACGGCTCCTCCAGCTCTGGTGATGGGACTCTCCTGGGGATATCGTCAGTGCTGGTGCTCGCGCTGCAGCCGAACAGACGAAGCAACAACAACAACAAAACCACAAACTCCAACAAACATATACACTCAAGCATCAACAAGGGACTTTTCATTACTACTTAGGATTCATTGTTGTACTGCACCTTCGACACTTCCACATGTACGTTCCCTGCCTTCACCAACCCATGCTGGACACAACCGCCATCGTCACCACGCCTCACCTGTTGTCGCGAGGGTGAACTCCGCCGCCGCTGTCGCCGCTGTTGCCACTGTCGTCGTGGTGGCCTGACTCGGCCGGCCTGATGGCCGTGAAGTTGAGGCAGCGCTGGAACCGCGAGCGGCCCGAGTGGAGCAGGTACGGCACGTGCGACAGGAGCCTCCCCGCGGCGATGCTGAGTGGGAGGTGGCAGTGCGGACCTTAGCGTATTATCCCCTCGAAAACGGGAATGTGTACGAGTACTCAGATCCCTAGGGGTGTATTGATGCATCTATGCCATCATTATCACATTTGTTCACGTGTGTAGTGAGTTACTCAGAGACACGAATAGTAGAAGGCACTCGATTATTTACAGCCTTCACAGGTACAGGGAGTAACTCCACGATGGTCAGGACAGCCAACAGGCTGCCTGACCAACAATGCCGAGGAGGTGAAGACGGTGAATAAAACTCCTCGGCCACGCCCCCCTTCATGAACCTTCTAGGTTACCAGGCTTTACCTCACGTGCCCCCTCTGTCACCTTTGCCCCACATCCCTTTCTCCGGCCTATCCCTTCTCTACGCGCCATAGTGACCCATTCCACGTCACTACACATGTACTGAATCGTGTGCCTAAGAATCTACGTTTTTCGAACACTGTATGTTGTAAGTGAACCTTCATCGTGGCCACAATCCAATCTTGAATCGAATCGCGATCCTGAATCATGCCAATACATGAATCATAACTCCCATGCAGGTTTTACTCCCAGAAGAGAAACACTCGTAGCTGCAGGCCAACAGTGGCCGATGGTCTAATCCCTGCCATAGCAATTTCAACGAGGCGACTCCGGTAGCCGTCGCGGGCCACACTAAACCCACCGGCCATCAGTTGAGGCCACAATGCTGTGGGGGATGCAGTTGGTGGTGGGGAATAGGGGAGGAGGAGGCGGGTCAAGGTGGGGGGGGGGGTGCAGGCAGCAGCTGGGGGCCACGAGCCGCCGGGCGGGAGGCGCTCACCTGTCGGTGATCCACTGGGGCTGCACCACCTTCTGGTCGGGTTGCAGGCCGCGCACCTTGTTGTCGGGGAGGTTGGTGGCGACGATGTGCGTGGTGCTCCAGCGCGAGTAGTACGTGTGGAAGTGCCCGCCGCGCTGCAGCACCAGCCGCCGCAGCTCGCTCGCCGGCGGGTCTGTGGGTGCGGTGCAACCGTTCCTCGTGCTGTACTCCTACGCTCCCACGTCTATTCTATCGTTCGCCGCCTTCGCCAAGACGCGCCAACTGGCGTGGTGAATTACAATCATGTGCCACGCGGGTGGGTATGGGTGCGTGTGTGTGCGGTTAGCGCGCTGTGCTATGAACCCGGCTTCTCGAGTTCGATTCCCGCTCATGGTCGACACCCAGTGACGATTAATTATCTGAACCGGTCATGGGCCTCCCCTAGGTCGCCACTAGGGAGACAAAGGCGGCCGGGCGTGGTGTTGACCACCCACCCCCTCGTGTGCCGTGCCGGCCTTCATAGGTGCTCGCTAACAGCACTTGCCCCAACAGTCTGTTAAGGCTATACGGGGGATCTTTGTGTTTGTCTTTTTGTGTGTGTGCTGTGTAAATGCCCGATGGGCGTGTGCGTAAATGAACGGACGCGAGCCGTCTACGCGGACGCGTGTGGCGGATGTGTGGCAGGTACCGGTGAAGCCGTTGACGTGGATGGCGATCCCCTGAAAGATCGCCGGCTGATCGTCTGCTCCCGCAGCTGTAGTGTCCGAGTTCAACTGCTTCTCCAGTTTCTGCAGTTTGGATGCCATGTAGCCCCCCTGCGCAACCACGGCACAGCCAGCGCTCGTGTCAGGAGCGCTGCAGTAATGCTCGAGTGTTCAGGCAGTTGTCATATCATTGTCGTCTTCGTGAGTTATCAGAATATTTATTTACTAGCCTTTTGTCCGTCCAAGGAACGGGTGTATTGCAGTAAATCTGAAACTTGCAAGCGAAAAGCAGATCGCGACGTGATATTCATTGCATCAATGCGTGTGCAATTTGTAAGGCCTCAGTGACACAGAACTATTTTATTTAAAGTTTATAATCCCTTGTTCATCACGTCCTTTTTACTTCTATGTGTCAACAGCGCGACGGAGATCGCGTGACGTGAGGGTTCTGCCTTCGTAGTGCGGGTTGTAAGTTGACGCTGAGGAGGGGGGAGGAGGCGCCCCCCCCACCCCCATGTCGAGTGCCGTCACCAGCTCAAGATTATTAATGTGGGGGGGGGGGTGCTCCATACGGAGTGACGTCACCCAACATGATGGGGGGGTGCTCCATGCGGAGTGACGTCACCCAACATGATTGGGGGGGGGGTCCATGTGGAGGACCCCACCTGTTCATGATTATTAA